TAATCTGTTCGTATATTTTTCTTCATTCACTTTTGATAGTAGGGAGTATTAAATCTTGAAATTTGTTCAAAGTTTAAAAAAAATTAACAAACAAGATGAAAAAATAAAAAAATTAATAGACAACAAACCCTGAAAATTTTCGTGCCATCTGCAAGCTAAGAAATTGAACTTTGGTTTCAAAGGACTGCCCATGTTCATCCAAACCAAGGCACTGTGGTGGAACAGTTGCTTGTTGGCCATCTGCCGTGGAGGACTCGCCAGAGGGTGGGCCAAAATTTTTCTTTTCTGTACTGGATCCGCTGTCAGAGTGTACTTATTGAAATTAGCATTCGTTTGGAGGTAGTTGGTCATATCGATGAGTGCGATGTCTTCGCTGCTGACTGTGATTGCGGGGAATGAGAACACTCCATCTGAATCGGGTCAAAGTTAAGCAAAGTGAATGCAAACATTTTATAAAATAGGTAGAGGTCTAAAAAATTGTAAAGACCCAAAACAACCCACTACCCAAACAAACAATTGAAACGTTTGAAATATGAAGTGCATCTTTATTAGACGAAGAACCTTTCAACAGATAGCAAATTAAATCAATTTTTTCAATAAATCAAATCAAGCAGGAACAAATCATCCAAGAAATGAAATAAATAATCCGGAGACGACAAAAGATAAATTAATTTCTCGTACTTGTCGCCAGTTTACAAATTTGAAGTTATTTAGTAAGATATAAGTCAAATTTGAAAACAGAAAATAAAAACTTAAAATAGATGCAACAAACCTGGAACTTGTTGAATTTCATCAACACAGGCAAACCCATCCGCGATGTTTGACCTCTTGATTTTTCCAAAACCATCCCGCGATGCCAAATCAGGTGTCAGAAATAAATGAATCGCTAAATTGTTTTGAGAAGATAAACCCAAACCAGCAGCAAGAAGGTGATGCTTCTTACTTCGTCCTCCTCTTAAAACATTTTCCGACCTGCTGCTGAATAAAGCCAAGGTACTCGGTGACTGAACGTTGAGTTTTCCAATGTAGTTGATGGAGTGGTCGTTGTCGCTGGCGTCAGCGCTGCAGATGCTTGAGGCGATAAAAATCAAACCTACGATTTTAATGAATTGAATTTGAAAAAATTTTCAGACTTATATAATGGAATATAATTGATAATTCATTTTATTTTATTTTCAAGATTCTGGCAAATTTACTTGCGATGAAGATTAGCATTTTCATTTATTGTTCTTAGAGCTGATCGTGGAAATAATTTGATGCTCGTATGGGATATCTTATGGGATATCAAGTGGCCCAAGCCGGATCAATTTCAGACATTTTTATACCAAACGACAAACTAATAGGAAGACACACAAGTCAATAATAAACCTATGCAAACATACATACAAATATTACTAACTTAGGTAAACCCATGTACGTATGTACGTGTGTGTGCGTGCGTGTGTGTGTGTGCAATGGTTAATTTGTATTTTTATTGTTCTTTAACATAATAATCAAAATAATCGAATAATAATAATAACATTAATAATAATATATATGTCCCCTGGTGATGAAGATTCCTGACTTGAGATATCTCCGATAAAAATATTATTAATGATATATATGATAGTTATGATGCGTTATGATGCAAATATCTAGTCAGATGTGTGGGATTGAGTAGTGATAGGATATCTATTAATATAAGTGATTTGATAAGAACTTCTTTATAATAAGACTTATACAAAAATTTATATAAGGACTTCTTTACATTAATTAATTTTTATTAATTTCTCTAATTAATTAATTGGTTAATTTCTCTTTCTATTAATATAAGTGATTTGATAAAAAACTTCTTTATAATAAGACTCATACAAAAACATATATTATATATATATATATATAATATATATATGTGTGTGTGTGTGCGTGTGTGTGTGTGTGTGTGTAGATGTGTGCGTGTGTGTGTGTAAATGTGTGCGTGTGTGTGCGTGTGTTTATTGTCTATAAATTTTAAAGGATTCTTCGATATTGAATGATTTATTGGATTCACAAATTATTTAGATTAAACTTTTTAATGGTTGTCATTTGAGATAAATCAAAAATTGGTGACAGAATGCTACTAGAAACCTGTCGTAAGAGTTAGAGAATCGTTAATAAAATCAGTAAGTTGGCTAGTCTTGCCCAGGTTTGAATGCACGTTCCATCCATTATAAATTTTACTCCTAAATAAAAAATTTTTAAGTGACAGAGGATTAACGGTATTTATAAAAATCTCTAAATACTTTTAGGTCAAAGTTAATTTAGAGTACTATAGCTCAATTCCTAAACTAAAATTCAGTGTTTTGCAATGATAATTATTGACTAATTATGTTTATTAGTAATTACAATTAATTAACTTTGGTTAAATAAGTAAAATTTTATACAGCTATCATTTAAAGAATAATTATTTTTAATTTTAAACTTTCTTCTTAGGGCTGTTTACAGTTTTTTACTGTCTGTCCATCGAATAGACAGCTGCAAA